TATTGGTAAGCAGTGGAATTATTTATTAACATCATAACATACGTACGCACATACACTTTCATGACGTGAGAGTTATAACTATGAAACATCAACAACAACAAAAATATATACCCACTAACAATACAAAGACACATACGCATACATAACACAAAGCCGCCCATTTATGACACAAAGACTCCCCTAAGCGTATACAAAATCAGAGCCACGCCCACATGCCAACGCATGGCAGCACAAAAGTCTCTCATTAAAAGATCGACGTCCTGCTATTACTCGCAGAAATTGTTCGTTGCATAAGAGCGGAGAAGAAAAGGGTGACACCCTCGGTAACGTGTTCCTTGCTAGTGCTCCTTTAATACTTCAGGTAACCTCCCTGCGCATGCGTATGCTATGGTCATGTGCCTTTTTCTTTGTTCCAGCAATTGACAAAAAAAAACAGGTTCTCAGAAAAACAAAAAAGTAATTCTCACCCAGAGATGTATTTAAGACAATTCGATCATATTTTCACCATAAGTAAATGCCCTGTTCATTCTCACACACACCTATTTCAACATTTGTCGCAGCATCCTACATTCAACGGGTTTTCAGATTACATATTTTGTAAAATGAATTATGAATAGATTAGTCGCCAAGAGCACTGTATGAATGCAGATCCGCGAAAGAAGAAAAAAAAATATTGGAGGTCTTTTGAATATGAGAAAATAGTAGGGGTAAGGAGGAAAGTAATAATATCAATGATAACAACAGCAGTAACAAAAACAATAGTGTTAAATAAAGATACAATGACAGCAATGATAATAACAATAATAATGATGAATAATAATGCTAATGATAATAATGATGATAATAATAGTAATAATAATAATGATGATATTGATATTAATATTATTATTATCATTACCATTATTCATATTATAATTGTTCTTCCTATTACTATTATTACTACTGTTATTATCATTATCATTCTTACTATTATTATTATTATCATCACCATTATCATGATTATCCTAATTATTTTCAATATTATCATTGTGATTATAATCATTATGATATTCATTATTATTTTCATTATCATATTCATTATCATCATTAGTATTATGATTGCTATCCTTTTTATTATAATTATTATTATCATCATCGTTATTATTATTATCATTATCGTTGTTGCTGTTGTTATTATTATTATCATCATTATTATTAATATTAATTTTGCTATTATTATTACTATGACTGATGATCGTAATGATGATAACAATAACAGATAAAAAAAAAAAACTAATAGTTAATGACAATGATAATGAAAATGAAAACAGACAGATCAATCATTGTCATTGACAATGAAAGTTATAACAATAGCAAATCAATAACAATGGAATCATCAACATTAATGATTATCATTATTATTATCACTATAATAAAGTTAACAATAACGGTGACAATACCAAAAAATATGAATAATATAAGTGCAGTTAAAACAGAAGTAATAATATTGATAATGATATTGAGAATATATGAACTTAGAATAGCTAATTATAGATACGTTATATATATACATATATATGTGTGTGTGTGTGATAGGAAAATAGGCGCGAATAATAGGTAGATAAAAACTTTTATTGTCAACAAATGCAGTTCTCTCTACCATGCAGTGACGGCTTTGGCGATTCCTCTGTCGTAAATATTTATATCGCGTAGTCACAAAAGCAAAGGTATAAACATTTTGGAAACAGATCCAGGGGAATTCGCCTCATAAAAATATAATAACGAAAAACAAGTTAGGGAAATCACTTCGTATTCATTGCATTTAAGGATTAACATAATGAACTGTAACATTTCCCAACCTCGGCCCCGGCGGGGAGAACCTGGGGATTTCCGCATTATTTTCCTCTCTTGGCTTAGTCATGCCTCTCACTAGGGTTTTCGAGAGTATGTATCTTACAATTAAGTGAAAATATCGCTTTCTATCAGATAGAAATGCGCATCCCTAAAGCCACAACACAGAAACAACTAAATGCTAACATGTACGCAGATATCGTACTAACCTGTCGACCTTGAGCGAAGCCACAACACCCTTACTCCTCGCCGTCGACAACACGAATGGCTGGTCTCACCTGGCCCTAGGACCCAAAGGGTTGCCGAGCCAGATACTCCTGGGTTTTCTCGATACTGTTGCTTGAAATTTAATTACCAATGGTATCTTCTCTTATTCTTTCGTTCTTGGTGAAGATATAATATGCTTCGTTTCAACAAAATGTTTTTTTTTTTTTGCCTTTTTCGCCTTCGGTGAGTTGGAAATGCATCGTCAAAATTGACCTAATAATTAACAGCCTAAGGACATAATTCTGCATGATTTTCATTATCTTTATCATCAGCAGGACACTTCCAGGAAGGTGTGTGTGGGGAAGAACGTGTCTCATCTCATGTTTTTAAATGTTAAAAAAAGAGAATACAAAAGTAGATTTCTTACTTATTGCAAATGTAAACCCTTAGCGTATGGCTTCCC